CATTTTAAATCCAGAGCAAGACTTCAAAGGAATCTTTAGGCAAAGGCGATTCAAAAGAGAAAAACAAGGTGAAAAAAGGTTTGGCATAAGATGACACAAGGTATTTGCCATTTTAAGGGATTCGGGCATATCCTGGGAAACAGCAGTTAATTGTCTCTTTCCTATGGATATTCTGAGAAAAATGCACTACTGTTTCTTTAACAATCATAAATACTAATTAAGTCATTTTATATTATAATTAAGCCCTTATATTAATATATTAAGTTGTATATTCACTGTATGGAAGAACTAACTACATATGTAGAAATACAAAAGAAAGCTACTCTTAAAGTATATATATAAAATGTAGAGCATCACTAAAGTAGTAACCTTATGGCTTGTAGCCGTCGTCTTGTGGATTCTGTGATTTTTGGCGATTTCGATTCACCAAATCCTGAGAGATGTGAATTTGTGCTTGAGTGTCTCATTTGAGGTTTACGTCTTGGAGAGGCGTATGGCCAGCGTGTTTCTTTCAACTTCTCTTCATCCTCTTGAATGTCCCTCAAAATCTTTCCCTTGTTTGAAGGAATATATGGAGTACGAAGATCGAAAGGTTCGCAGACTGTAAGGTGTTTCACTTGTTTTTGTTGCAGGAGCTGTTTCTGAAATTTCTGGTGTAGTCGTTCAAAATCTGGAACATTTGATTTGATCTTGGGTTTATGTTCTGCTTGCTTTGGTTCAGTGCACTTGTGTTTCTTTTTATTGGTATCGCTTAAAGCCAGTCTGCTGTTGGGTAGGGATGAATTGCGTAGCAACTCTTCAGCTCTCATTCTGATCCTGATTTCTCTGTAGAGCTCTTCCTCCTTTAGCTTGTCGTTAACAGCTGGACTATAAACACATTTAGGAACTGGTTTTGCTTTGAACAGTTTTGTTTTCTTTTCAGGTGCGGAAAGGTCTCTTAATTGCATTTTCCTGATTTCATTCCTTTGCTTCTCTCGTTCAATGAATTTAAATGGCTTCTGAGAAGCCAAGAGCTTGAGTTTGCTCCTCTCTTTCACTGACCTCCTGCGTTCTTCGTTTCGTTGCACAATTTCATGGTAGAGTGGAAGGAAGATGGCAGCAGGCACTGGATTGGCTCGGAATTTTTTCTGACACTCTGCTTCTTCCTCTAGTTGCTTCTTCAATAAGTTGTTTTCCAGTTCAATCTGTGACTTTGATTTGAGATTCTGTTCTTTTTTCCTAGCTTCTCTAATAGTCATCTGGAAAGGCTTGGGCACAGTAACTTTTGGTGACCATGCTTTCTGTTTCTTCCGTATCATTCTGAAGGCTGGTGACCTTGGTAAGCTGTGTTTGGTGTGGGAGATGTAGTCTTCCACACAGAACCCGTCCCACATTTTTTCAATCCGTTCCTTAGCAAATGCAGACGATCCCGTTTCGCTACCATTTTCTTTAAACACTAATTCTCTGTCAGACCCATCAGATATACTTGAGCCTAAAGGATCACTTAAGTCAGAGTCTGAAAAGGATTTGTGCAAATTTAGAGGCTGATAGGAGCTCTTCTCCCAAGTTGGCCTTTAAAAAAAGAAAAAAAGGTTGTTTTGAGTCCAGTCCAACACTGATGCAAAGCTAGTAACTTCCACTTCCATCATTAGAAAAAAAATTAACAGCACTGGTGGGGAAGAAGCGAGGGGGAAGAGAAGGGCAAAAAAGCAGCACATGGGGCACTCGCACCAGATGACAGTTTTAAGTAAATGCTGATTGTGAACAAGTCAGCACTTGTTAAGGATAGGCACTGTGCTTTGCTAAACATGTTGCTCGGTTTCTGCTGCACACACACTTGTAAATCTCACAGTATGTTAGCAAGGTGAATAAGCATTTTTATTATTAAAACTAACTTTTCTGTGATTATCTGCTTGTAGGAAATGGGAGAGTAACACTTCCCAGGCCCAGAAAAAAACCTGCTGTTTTACAAACGTCTGCAAAGCATTTGGGAATCTTCGGATAAAAGGTACCACCAAACTTACCTACAACACACGTTAGAAGCAGCATTTTTCTTGTCGGAGGGTTGTACTCCTTTTAAGTATAGTTTATTCCGATACATACTTTCTAATTTTGCCATGGTCTCCAAGTGGGCATTCTTCAACTCTTCTAGCTTCAAGTAATATTCTTGATTTGAATTGCACATTTTGGAGAAGTCTATCCACTCATCAGAGTCTCCATTTAGAGAGGGGGTCTGCTCTCTGTCGGTATTTGAAGCCAAATCAAAACCATCCTAGAAGAGATGTTTGTAACATTTTCTGACTGTTAGAAGAAAGGGGAACAAGGTTCTTAATACTGCTTTATCCTAAGTAAGTCTAATGAATGATACAGTAACACCAAAGAGAGATACCTGTATACAAGCGTTAATGCAGAGTTACATGTAAAATTCCTAAGTCTGTCCCTGTAACCAATATATGTATACCAGGAAATATAATCAAAAGGACTTATCAAAATAAAAAAGTTTAACTGTTTTGTGAAAAGTGTAATTTTTTTTTCCTTCATTACTACACAGCTCTAAAAAAGCCTTTATTTAGAAGCAACCAAAACCACAACAGAACCTTCTCTGCCTCCCATTTCCCGAAGCATTCTAAAAATATACTTGTGTATAAATGTTTATTCCCTTTTCCTTAACTTACTGTGAAATAACAGGGATTCTGCACAGCTTATAGTTCCACTACTGTTTGGCAGCTTGCAGTTGTGTGCAGGTAAGCACATTCCTTACACATTTTCAAAGCTTACCCAAGTTAGAGATGTTAGTAAAACCAGACTAGCCTGCATTACAAAGGCTGCCTTTAAGTTATTCTTAAGCACCGTTTTAAAACGTTGCAGGACTTGTTTCTTTATCCAAAAATTAGAATAATCCTTTTCCACACGAAGGTATATTAGGGGTCTTGTTTGTTTTGTCAGGTTTTTGTCTCTTTAACTCGTTTTTTCCACCCCTAGTGACCCAACGCTGTATGAATTCCACAAACCAACGCGGCACGTTCGAACAGCCGTTACGGGCGGCCCGGCGAAACTTTTAAAAGTCACAGCATTTTGTGATGGCTTCTCTGGAGCAGTGGATTTGCTTGACACTAGGTTGTGTATAAATACACCCTAAGTTGGATGAAAGGTCTTGCTCACAGATTGTTATATGGAGTGTTATATGGGACGGCTCAATGTCCAAGTGGAGACCCATCATGAGTGGTGTTCCTCAGGGGTCAATACTGGGACCCGTGCTGTTGGAGATGTGGACAGTTGGATCAAGTGCACCCTCAGCAAGTTTGCCAATGACACCAAGCGGTGCGGCGGGGAGCGGGCGGGGCCGGGCTCCGCCGGCTGCGTGGCTCTGCTCTCCCCCTCTGCCCGCGGGACCTGCCCACGTTTAGGTAACTTTTTGCAGGATTGCAGTTGGAACTCGTAACTCCCTCCTTGACCAGCCCGCGATTTTTACCCCCTCAAACCATTGAAGAATCTTCTCCTGACGTGAAGTTCGTACTACGGATAAGCAATTAAAGAACAAGGGCGAACTGGGATCAGCAAAAAAAAAACACCTCTCCAGAGGCATTAATGATTGCTGGGCCTATTTACTGTAGTGAATTATAAACACTTCTATGTGGACAAACAGATGAGATTACATCACACATGGTAGTTTTAAGTGTAGCCACGAATTGGAAGTTTGTGATGATGGGGACAGAAAGATTTAATCTTAAAAGTTAAAACCTAAAGTAAGAGATCATTGCTGGTTGTAATCCTGTGGGCTAAGGCCTAACTTGCAATTTTAAACAGCCAATAAATAATTACTGCAGAGCATTAATGCCTAAATTGATTGTCTAACTTATTTGTTCTCAGTGTTTGAATTATTCTGAATGTTCTACTTAGCCCTAAGTGGAAGTATTTCAACAATAGCTGGTCAACAAAGTGATGCAAGTTTACTCAAAACCTTCAGCTCCCATCATAAATAGAAAAATGAGTTAGTCGTGAAAGAATTACTCTCCTTTAAACACAGAGAGGACTCTAGTCATCTCCATAGAGCAGTAATGATGAAAGGGTTAATTAAAAATGCCAGGCTAAGAATTAGAAGTTGAGAAGTGTTTATTCTAAACTATGAAATGTAATATTAAGAACAAATTCAATTAATGTTAAACTGAATGAATCCTGGGGCAGTCAGGATTTGCCTGTGGCTGAGGATCCCTGCATTACATAGCGACTCTGGATAATGCACTGAGATGCAGTGACATCGAGGGGTACACCTTTCCTTAATGCTTTAATAGATTTTAATGTGTATTCCACAAATTGTTTCAGAAAAGCATAATTTGCATTATTGTAAAATAGCATACATTGACATAGCATACTTCAACTTCTTGACCAGTTTTTGGAAAAACAACTAATTTGGAGGGTGGGAGAGGGGTGTGTGGGTTTACTTAAGCTGTCCAGTTTCATTCCCCTGGTTTTCCTGAACAGAACTGGGACTTTCACCACCACCATGATGGAAGTGACAAAAAGAACAGTTACAACTGTTTCAGAGATGCACTCGTTACCCCAAATGAATTTTAAAGAAATCCCTATTAGCATACATATGCCCAGTTACAGTAATATCATTCTTGCCTTTTTAGAACTAGGTTTTGTTTTGACACTTGCACAAAAAGAACACATGTGAAACCTGTTCTCTGCAATACTCTGCATTGTGTGACGGCATCAGAAATCATTGCAGACTTCAGAAGGCAAACTAACACAGAACGCATCTGAAGTGTTATGGCTGCAAAGATACTCCTCCTCTCTAGCACATCATATTCAAGGGAAGTAACACCAGTCCATTACCAAAAACTCTCACAGAAGCAGCTTACTAGACTGCAAACTCAAGGGTGTTTTTAGAATGTACTACAGGAACTAATTATGTACTGTTAAAAATTTTCAGAGTTAAGTAGGAACATATAAAACAGAAAAGCAAATGTAACAAAGTTTACCTTATTTCTAGTAAAATTATAAAGCAAAGACTCGGGTAGACTACTGCATGTTTATTGATAAACAGCACTTCCTTTCTGAAACCAGAAATGTTATTAAATTAACGTGATAGAAGTACATAAGCCTTTGTGGAGTTTAAGACAATTCACACAGGCGCTTTTGGTGAGGAAACCGCATTCCGGACTACGGGGAAGGAGCTTCAGTCCCAACTTCCTTTGTTCAGCTTACCGCGTGTTCACCTGCAAAGAAGAGTTCGCACAGTCAGGCACCAGAAGGCCACAATTACTTCTTGTCTCTTTCTTTACTCCTCGCTTTATGGTACAGTATTTACAGTGCATTTCATTTTGTTCTAATTGCACTTATTAGAAGGCCAAGTGGTCTCAGCAGCATGTAAACTGAGACTACTACGCAGTAACTGTATTTTGAAGCACAGCAAATTAGATGACAATAACTATCCTGGTGCTTGTGAAAAAAAAATCCAAGAAAATATGATGTAAACGCTACTCACCACGTCATCAATCTTAAGAATACTGCGCACAGTTTCTGTTGCGAGAGTCAATGCACTCAAAGACACGAGCAGTGGCTGGACAACCAACTCCTCCAAAATGTTGGAAATGCCACCCTAGGAGAAACAAGTAGCTTTTACTGTGTGCATGTCAGACTATGGTTAGATTTAGCAAGTTTTCTTTTAGTAGAATCCTAAGGAGGACAGTCAACTTTAAACTAGACTATCAAAGGGCTTGTACTCTTCCATCCTCAACAGGAATATTATGGTACGCATCTTCCTCCCCCAGGCACTTGACACATCCAGTCAAAATTAGCACAGAGAAAAGATAAACACAGTTATGCCAGCTTAAACATGGTGACAACTTAAAAGAAGCTAGACCGCTAGGCTACTTGTAACAGAGCACCTTCCACTGCAGGTAATACTGACAGATCATTCTAAATGGATTTATTTCTGCAGCTGCAATAAAGTTTTTGAAGAGACAGATGAAGTTTCTTGTCCTGCGGATATGGCATTTAAGTATCTACTACTATCAATATTCAGGATAAGCTGTTAAAGCCTCAGAGAAGCAGCTGTAATTTACCTCAACACTAATTTCAGGGAGAATACCGTTATGAGACAGAAACGTGCCCTCTCCTTAGTTTAGACCCAACGCTAAGCATTTTCTATTTAACGCCCAGGCATTTTTTTTAAGCTATGCTAATCAACACAATTCCTTGTTACCTTTCTGACGTTAATGCCAGCTGTTTTCTCTCCTTGAGCATGTCTGTTTCTCAGCTCTGTTACTGTTGAAATAGGGTTGAGCCCTGCGTTTTCAGCCAGCGTCGATGGTATAACTTCCAGTGCGTCTCCGTATGCGCGGACGCAGTACGAGTCCATACCCCTCAAAGTGCGAGCGTACTCATTCAAGCGCAGTGCCAACTCTATCTCTGGTGCTCCACCTCCTGCAATTAAAGCCCTGAGGACAGAAATTAAAAATAAAAACTCGTTCTACGTAATTGCATAAATTATTGGCTTTCGTATTATTAATATAATAAACCACTCCAACCAAACCGAGACATTACCTTTTCTTAACTAAGCATCTTATGACACATAGGGCATCATGAATGGAACGTTCAGCTTCTTCTAGAACAAGTTTGTTGGATCCACGTACCACAATGGTTACAGTTTTTCCAGGGTTTGTGCAGCCCGTGATCTAAAACATAAAACCAAATACTAAGACTGAAAATAAGGGTTCTGGGCAAAACCAGGCTTCAGTTGGCATTTGCAAGTTCTGCACCAGTACTGACATCTGGCCAAGCAGGACAACTACACTTCCCAAGCCAGTGGCTACGCAGGGATTAGAAGTAGGTAAATGTAATAACTTCAGTAATAAAAATTAAAGTCAGCAATTTTGCAGTTGTTGTTAAAATAACTGACAGACATTAAGTAGGTATTAACATTTTGTCACTCGCTCACCTTTATTAGTTTCCCAGAACCGTTCAAATTGACCTCCTCTGCCAGCTCAGCAGACCCCAGCATATCAGGAGTAAACTGGTCAATATGAGCAACAGGCTTAGTTCCAATTGTCTGAAAAAATAACAGAAAAAAATAAATAAATCCCAAACCTGAACTGCAGAGTCAGCAATTATACTGCATAATATTCTGCATATTACAGTAAAATGCAGTTAGGGCTATGGCTTTTACATCTGTCCCGCATCTTTCTAGAAATGTGACTGCTCAACAAAACAAGAATGTTTTTTGGGGAACTGTCTGCTTTTACGTTATAGTCAGAACATAAAACCTGTGAAAGTGTCATAATAAACTGGCACTGGCTGGGTACTTAGTTTTCGGGTAGACTTTAAACATCGCTGCTACTTTAACAGCCACTTATGTAACTCACTTTACCTTACAAATAAACTCAATGTCATCTCTTTCAATGTCTTTAACCACCATGATCTTCATTTTGTTCAGAAAATGGAGGGCTAGGTCACTAAGAGCATCCCTAAAAAGAAGAGGGAAGTAGTCAGTCCGCAGCGCTATTATGGTAACCGGGTCATACTAGCCAGCTGCACGCTTCTTACCAGCAGTGCCGAAATTCTTCAGACTACAAAGTAGCGATGTCATTAAACTCAAAATATCGACAACACGAGGGCTTTCTAAAGGTATGGTCAGTCTGACACTCTGCCAAGTGTCACTGTTAGTATTTGGCTTCAATTTTCCAGGTATTCCAAACAATTCCAATTGTTCCCCCAAACACACACGGTAAGTGAATAAATCGGTGTTAACGTACCGCAGAATAGATTTCTGAATAAGCAGCACATTGCATCCAGCCTTCTTAATTTGCTTAACTAAATTTAGAATATAGGCTCTCTCTTCACGCAGTACTCTGTCCATTTGAGCATAATCAGAAACAACTATTTGGTTGTCCATCTATTTAAAAAAGAAAGAAAAAAAAGAGAGAAGCAAGTATTATGAACAAGTGCTGACTTTAAAAGCAAGTATCAAGATGTTCCCCATGCTTTCAGCCTGTCATTCAAAGCAAATAAGCATGATAGTAAAATACATCTTATTAGAGACTGTTTAAATGATGAGAAATACTGGAATTATTATTACTGAACTATTTTTTTTCTTCTACCACCTGCAAGTTCTTTAAGAGTTATGAGTAGCGAAGCATCACCCAGCAGACCTTCGTTATAGCTGTGGAATACAACTGACATCACATCTCAAAACAAAATGTGTTATCACTACATTTGCATCTCCCAAGTACTACAGCAAGCGGTTTCGCTCTAGTCATAGTTTTAACTTACATCTGTCTTTGGAGCAGACAAGCAGAACTGAATGAGGCCAATTTTGGCTTTTTCCACTCTGGTTACACCGGTATTTGCCACCTTCTGAGTCAGGACTAGTCCTTCAACCAGTTCACAATCATCAATTGTGCCTCTGGAAACAAAAACAATCCATGACTCTAGCGCTTTGGGAAGCTGATTTCAGACACTAAATTTGTCTAGTTACAAATTGTTTCTTACCCCAACTTCTTAACGATTTTAATATCTCTGAGGTCCACACTATTAGCTGTAGTTGGGTCAATCACCTTCATCACTGCATCCACACTCATGGGAGAAAGCAAACTAGAATACTGACACACAACCTAAGGGATTTAATAGTAAAGAAAAAAAAGTTGAGAGATTTAACACTCATAAACAGTAATTTCAAAATACTATTGTCATTGCATTCTAGTGTTTGATTTCTGAATTTGGAAACAAAGCTCTTTTCCCTCCCTGTCCACCAGCCAGGATGTCCTAACATGGCATCTTTTTACTGGCTGCTCCATTTAAAGGAAAGAGCAGCTATGTTGGTGGGAAACCCTATGCTTAGGGACTTACGTACGAAACTTGAATTTCTCTTTCTTAGATTCTTAAAATAAGACTTCTGAGAGCTTCCCAGATTATTCTGCTGGAAAGAAAACTAGCACAGTTCTCCAGATTTCAATGCTGTTTTAGGAGTTTCTGCCACACGAACAAGAACCGCCTACACAAACTGTTGGCAAAAGCTCTCAAGTATCCCACCTGATTTTTCTGCTGCTGTTTTCAGTTGAGGCTTGTTTTTACACTTACAGTCAACATCTAAGATCGCGAAGCGTTTCAGACCGAAATTCAGTTTGAGTGCCTCAACCCGATCTGAATCAACCATGGCTTTCTGAAAAGTCAGTCTAAGAGAAGGTAGCCGATGTCTGAAAACCAACTAGATTTGTGATGTGCAGGATATTCTTAGTGAGAGAACAGTAGCACAGGCTGGGAAAAGCTGAAAGGCTCAGCTAATCTGGAAGTACAAAAAGTATCAGTCATACCTTTGAATTCAGCGAAGTAGTTGCACTATTCAGCAAGGTTTCTCTGTCACTCAGTTCAACCGGCTGCGCCATGTTGCTCAATACTTCAATGCCTTTATCCAAAGCTTTCTGGAATGACTCTGAAATGATGGTGGGGTGAATTCCTGTGGATAGCATAAAAAGGTTGTCAGACAGTCATGCTTTCAAACCATATTTTTTGTTGTTGTTTTTTTCCTCACCCTTGCTTCCCATTTTAAGATCAGAGAGACTCTCGTGTCAGAATAAATTGAAGTAATTTTAGCAAAATGTGTTCTTCCCGAGTATATGACCTCCCTTATTACTTTCCACTGCTAAAGCTCAGAAAAAAAGGCTATAATGTTCCTCATAATTTGTCCTCGCAGACAAGTACAGCACATTTCCCTGCAACGTCTGCTATTCCAGAAACATCTCTAAGTCTTATTTACCCTTGGCATTCTTAAAGCTGCCACTGTTCAGGTAATACCTGTGAGGAGCCCGACAGTGATTTCATTTCAGATTTTCACAGACCAGTTTCCCCACAGCTGTGCGTGAAGTTCTGCAGTTTCTCTGGAGTGTGTGATATACTACACCCTTTACCTTTTCAAAGCAGACATCTTACGGGTAAACGTTAGACAGGTGTCTTCTAACTACCTCTTACAGTAGGGGATGCCAGGCTGGCTGCTGGTCCAGCAGTGCCACCAGTACCAGGAGATACAGTAAAAATAAACAAACGGTTGGTAGGGGCCAGAAAGAGGACAACAAGCCAAGTGCTGTGTATCAAGATGAGGCAAGTGTAAGTAAATCACTATCAAGTCCAGCTCTGAGACAGAAAAGAACTCTGTAAATCCAGTCACCCTCGCCCTATTTCCAGTGCACACGGCATTAGGTGGTTGGACAGCTAAAAAAACTCCTGAACTGCACGTAAGGAGACTACAAGAGAATGTCCTGAGCTAATGGAATAGAACCTACATTAACTATTGCCTTCCATATTTCACGTCTTTTCCTGATCAGACTTTCTCAAGGTCCATATATTGTAAGTGATGGGAGGTGATAAATTTGCTGAGTATAAAAAACCCTATAAAATCCCTGTTCCCAAATTTCATTTATACCTTCTTACACTATCTCTCTGTCCACAAGAGAAGTACAAGAAAAATCATGATGAGTTTTTACAAGGCAAACATTCACCACATCACCTAGGCAGTATTTCCTGTATCAACAGTAATGCGCTCAATTAACAATAAAAAGGTAAACAGATTTTTAATCAAAAGTAGCACGAGTGAAACCTGAATGTGAAAACTCAAGTTACCTTTCACTTTTCAACTGGAAACAGCTACTTTAAGCTTCATTATACACATGCAAGCAGACACAGGACTTAACATTTTTACATTAAATATGTATATTTACCTTTCTGAAGAAGTCTGGAACAGGCATCCAAAAGAGCTCCAGCAATGACCACAACCGAGGTAGTGCCATCACCAGCTTCAATATCTTGTGCTTTTGACAGCTCCACCAACTAAACAGCAAATTATGGCAAAAGTTTACATATAATGCTACTTAAATGTCAACACTGACAATTACCAAAAAAGAAGTATTCAAGAACACAGCACTGCTGAAATCAACCTTAGTATCAGGACTAATCACACCTTTTCTAATTTGAGGTTGGTACCTTTTGCACTTTGTTTCCATACTTGTACACCTATTTGGCAAAGTACAACAACTGTGAAACAGATCCCTTACAGAAGTAAAGAAACTTTTCTCCCAAGCTTAAAACTTACCACACCTATCTAACAGCTCTACCTTCTCCTTTCCTGCAGAAGGGTCATGGGAAGTTCATTTCCATCTCCAACCACGACCAAATCTAAGAGGTCTACATTTAACATCTCAAAGGACCAGGCTACTGTATCCTTGGACCATCTGACCATAGTGCAATTAATTCTCTTCTTTCGCTCTCTTCTGTCCTACCAGTTTAAGACATCACTGACTCTTCTTTTTTACATAAGAGACAAAAATTTTGGCCTAGATTATTTTATGTCTTAAAGCCTGTCCAGAGGGATTATGCATAAGGAACACCAGATAAGAAATAATGACTGGAAACACTTAAGCACATCTTACAACCAAAATAATTATTCTTGGAGCACACTGCACAAAATTTCCTGCTCTATCACTCATGGGTAACGCTCCTCAAAAGCACGTGAAATGTTATTATGGTTTTCTGTCCCAGAAGTTAAGCTCTCATGCTTATCATTGTCTGAGAACCGAGAACTGGAAAAAACCACTTACCATTTTGGCTGCAGGGTGCAGAACCTGCATTTGTTTCAGAATAGTAGCACCATCATTAGTGATTGTCACATCTCCTTTAGCATCCTGAATCTGAGGAAAAACATAGTTCTGGTCACTAACTGCAAGTCTTTTAATTTCATTTGATCCTCAATGCAAAATATTTTTCCTGACGTTATTTCTCAAACTGAGATACATTGAGGCCACACTTTCCCTTAAATAAATGAAACTTGGAAAATAACGTCAAGGCAAAGGATGGCATCCTATATAACACATGTTAACTTTACAGTATCTCTACTAAGCTTAACGTTTTAAAAATTTACGTATAAGGTTTACCATTTTATCCATTCCCTTTGGTCCAAGGCTTGTTCTAATTGCATCGGCAACAGCTAGAAAGAGCAAAAAGATAGGTTTGCAAGTTGATCTAAAAAAACTACAAGTGTTTCCATCATTCTGAATATTTCTTCTGAAGAGAAAGTGTCGCCCAGTGTCAAGCAGTCCCCAGTTATTTTGCCACCACTAAATAACCCTTAATAGTTGGATGACAGAAAGCGCTGCAATATCAGGACTGATTTTCAGCGCTCCTTTTTAAGCAATTAACATCCGATCACTTGATCACGGCCATTTTAAAACGGAGTAATAACGTGAATATACATTATATGCCAACCAACCCGACCAGGGCTTGCGTGGAACCCCAAATACAGCCTCCCCCACACGCACCGGCCCCTGCCCCGTCCCCGTCCCCGTCCCGCCATCGCAAATCACAACGGGGGACCGGGGAGGTGGGGGGGATGGCGGCAGGCTCCTCCCCCCAACACAACGGGGCGCTCCCGCCCCCCCTTCCCTTCTTCTCCCCTCACCTTTGCCGGCGGAGATGTTGCTGAAGCGGATCTGGGAGGGCTTGTCCCGGTCCTGGT